TTGAATTTAAATGAGCCACTTATTCACACCAAACTGCACTCGAAATCATGTCATTATCCATATTTGTCATTTTTATTATTTTCATTATCGTTTCATTATCATTTCATTATAATAACTATAACCAATAATATTATCTGATTGATTTTTTTCAGCACTTGCACAAGTGTGGTTGCCGTGACGGTCTCATTTGTACCGAAACAGCCTCCGTTACCATCCGTCTGACTGCTATCAAGGTCGCCCTGAGGCAGTGCATGTAACTCGTACCAGCCTCTTGACCGAGACAAAGTAATTAGCCGAGGAGAAGACAAAACTAACCATGTAACGCTTAGAATCATTTCAGTGAAAGGAATAAAGATAGTCTTCGAGAAAAATCTGGAAATTACTTGTTGAATTCAGTTAACAGACTCTTTAATTCGAACAGTTCACTGACTTGCGGCATAAGATTGAAAGTCGATCATTTGTTATCATTCAGCCAAGCAAGGGGAAAAATTGAACAATTCCTGTGTACGTAGGCAATTGTCCCACAGTTCTGAGAACTGTTCATTAAATCTTCTCCAAAGACGATAAAGCTAAAAAAAACTTCGTTCTAAATTGCAACTTATGGGGTTATCTTTCATTGCCATGACAGCAATCTCCAAAATAAAAAAATTCATAAAGAGGAAGAAGAACAGCCTATCAGAGACTTACATTTTAGGTTAGGTGTCGAATATGAATGAAACAGAGGAAAAAGTTCCAGAGTTTTCATCACGTAGTCGTACACCACATTTTTACAATTGAAGTAATCTTAAACGCCAGTGGTGTGGCAAGCGAGTGACGGCCTGTGCGTCTGGCGCGAACTCTTAAGGGGGTCCAGTGGAAGTGAAACAATTTCGTACAAAAATCCTTTCATCTATTTTTTTAGGAAAAATCAAACTAAATAACAAGAAAGAAATGCTGCTTAAAGGTGGTGGGCGGGAGCAGTGGGGGTTACAACCCCCTTAGCCCCTTCCCTGGATCTGTCTCTGATATAAAGTCCTTCAATTCTTTGTTCTGAAAGGCCGACAATTTGCCTAAGATCATTTCTCAAAAACCTGCAAATTTTGAAAGTAACGCGACATAGCACAACCCAATAGCCCTTATTCCAGTTCTGAGCGCGCAGTTTAGTTGGACAGCAGTATCCTATGGTTGCGAAAGCGAGGCTATCGAGTCAAGCTTCCCTGAAGATTACTTGCAGGATTGTAGAAAATATTACATCGCTGTTAAAGTTTAGGTGAAACCGTGATAAGTGTTAGACACTGTATGGCCTTTGGCTGTACGAGCTGGAGTTCAAAAGAAGATTGTCGCGGCCTTGCATGGAATTCCTTGCCGCTATCAAAGAAAGATCTCCAGAAATGGCTGGTAAAAATCCGAAGGGAGAACACTCCTTTAAGCAAAAATTGCTATCTATGTAGCAAGCATTTTGAGCCTAAGTGCTTTGTAAAGTCCCTAGATTGAAGAAAAGCATACTTAGAACTGACTTCTGATCAAAAAAGGAAGTCCAAAAAGCAAAAGCAATTCTTATGGAAAAAAGCGTTTTTTCACGGAGATACACAACTATGAAAAACAGAATATATGAGCGTTTTGTTATACTTTACCTCTCTTTGATTAATATGGGAAAATCCCGTTAAACAGTTTTTGGGGACGGTCTCGGAGAATTCCCAATAATTTTTTCTCAACTTGGGAGCGTGGCCTCACTACTGAAGGATTCTTAACTAATTAAATCCAGTGGTTTTCAAAACTATGAAGCCGCAGAGTTTAACGTTTNCTATAATTAGATTACAAAAGGACAAAACGGGTCATTGAAGCTCTACCGAATACACATTGAGATGTAGTGAAGATACTAATAAAAGAATGGACAAAACCCCAAAGAATGCATCAAGTGAAATAACTTTTCTTCGGTTCGGAAATTCCTCAGAACGGTGAATTTAGATACCCACCCCAGTAAGGGAAAGATTTAATGCGTAATGAAAGGATGGCGCGCAATGTGACTGAAAATCAAATATTGGTGCAGAAGAAATTCATGACGAAAAAATAATTTTCTTTGAAATATAAAGAAGCCTAGGTTTGGGTTTCTTTACGCTTTGTCAACTACCTCACGAATGGAGGAATGAATGAAAAACTTTATTTAAGTGTCTATGTTTTTAGCTATAAGCTAATGGGGGACACTAAAAAATTTCAAAGTCAAATACATTTAAATATGAAGATAATAGTTATTTACAGTAGATAATTAAAAGGATTATAAAGTCATTTAGTTAAGTTTTAAATTTCGACGAGAGTTGAAAGGTCGACTTTTCTTATGTTCTTCTTGAACGAATTTAAGAGTTTCTATCGTTCTTAGGTGTGTTGGTAACTTCGACCAGATGAGAGGTCCCATATATTTAATAGAATTCCTGCCAAATCTTACAGTTTCGAATCTTGGAAGTTCGAAGTCACTGATCCGTAAATTGTACTGAGTGTTCTTTATATTAAATAAGTCAGAAATATTCTCGGGTACGAGACTGTGCTTAACTATAAACATCAAAGTGGCAATGTCTTGTAGGCGCCGATTGTACAACGTCGGTATTTGGCACGACTTAGCAGTTCTTGATAGGACGCTGATCTAGTTTTTTACACCGCCCTAAGTGCTCGATCCTGAATCCGCTCAAGCTTTCTCCGTTCCGATGCATTACAAAAATGCCATACTAGCTGACAGTAGGTTAGATGGGGCAGAATTTATAGTTTAGCATTACAGGGTATCAAATTGCGTAGCTGCACTAGGACGCCTGCTTTTTGACTGGCCTTAGAGCATAGATCACTGATATGACTAGTAAAATTCAATTTTTCATCGATTTGAACTCCTAAAAGCCATATTTCCGCCATTCTCTCAATAGTATGACCGTCAACAGAAAAGTTATCGGTCCTCAAACATTTTCAATCATTCCAACAAACTTTCAAACTTACGTTGAAGTACAGCCAGCGCCTGACCCTCATGGGTGCATCTGCTGCCTGGTTATCAAGGTCGATCGTCTCCACTTTGATATCCATATCTCCCGGCATGCATTGTTTAACGGGATTCTCGATTCCGTGTTCTATCACATTCTTGGTGAGAACGCAGGAAAGACCATTCTGGCAACTGCAATCTCCTTCCTGGC